CATACATACATACGCACCTACATACGTACATACAGGCAGACAGACAGACAGACAGACAGACAGACGTGTGCGTGTGTGTGTGTGTGTGTACCCGGAAACATAAACATTGGTCTATTTGCGTCCCCTCCTTACGGGTGTCGCTGTTTTTTGTTTGTCACTCTGCATCTAGTATCCAGCGTGTATCTACAAACACCGAGGTGTTCAAATCGATATCGGCAAATAGACAGCTGGATATATAGTCACATAGATAAGCGGATACGTGGTCGATAGAGAGATAGAAGGATAGACCGATAGACAGGTCGATAGACAGATAGACAGATTAGTGCGTTGATTGATTGATTGATTGATGGATTGATTGATTGATTGACTGACTGATTGATTGATTGTCTTTTTGATTGACTGATTGATGGATTGACTGATTGATTGGTGGGTTGATTAATTCGACAGATACATACATTAGACCGATAAAATGGATAGATAGGGTCAGATAGACAGGAATGTAGATACGTTGGATACATAGACAGATATAGATAGAGGAGACAGACAGATAGAGGAGACAGATAGATAGATAGACAGATAGGTAGATCGGTACGTACCTAGGTGGGCAGGTCCGTAGGCGGGCAGGTCGGTGAGTTGGTGGGTGGCTGGGTGGGTGGGTAGGTAGGGAGGCAGGCAGGTATGCAGGAAGGTAGGTAGTCCTGTGGGTAGATAGATGAACGGGTAGATAGATGGAGAGACACCCTGCTAGAGAGCAAAACAAGTACGAGAATTCATGGAGACAGTATGAAGTACCGGAAAGCCAAAGGCAAAAGAGCAGAAGTCTGCAAACACCTGCAAAGACAGCGTACACCCTACTTGCCCTCCAGTAAACTCCATTCCTGCACACGGCCTGGGCCGGGTTGTAAAAGACGTCGCTCTTGCCGTCCTTCCGCTGTGCGTTGACCGGCAAGACCTCCGCTTAGGGTACAGAGTTTCGGGTTTAGGAGCTTTTCTGACATCCTTAACGGGGTGAGGGGAGGATTAGAGATAACTGATACAAAATTCGGGTGAACCCCCTCCCATCAAGATCTCAGATAGAAGACTTTGGGTCTAGGGATTGACATTGGGATTTAGTAGGTATCAGGGCTTGGAGGCTAAAGGTTGATTCTAGGGCTTAGGAGCTTCGTGGCTTTGGGATAAGTAGGCTATCAACCAGTACTACTTTATTGCCCGCCATTGCGTCTCCTCTACGTGTAGCCTTCTTATTCAGCCCCATGCTTCCCAACCCCTATAAGACCCTATCTAACCTGTGAGACCTGCACGGAACCTTATAAAAACACGTATGAAAAACTTGCGAAACCCGTATGAGCCCTTTCAAGACCCTTGCTGATTCCCTTGATCCTTCGAGCAATCCTAAAGTCCAAACTCTAAACCTTGCGCCTGAAATCCTAAAACGCTGAAGCGGGTCCATGCTTTGGGGCTTAGGGAACCCTAAACCCATCTAAACCCCAAAACCCTAAACCCATAACCTTAAACCCTAAACTCCACACCCTAAACCCTACACCCTAAACCCATAAAACCCAAACCCTAAACCCATAACTCTAAGCCGTCTGTGCCTCTGCCAGGCCTTCCTTGATGTTGACACCCGGATCGATCTGAGCTCAAGAGAGTTTCACAAAAGGCACCGAACACAACCGGTTTAGGGTTCAGGGTTTAGGCTTTAGGGAGGGCAAGGGATTTTTGGGGGAGAGGCGGTTTAGGGTTTAGGGCTTAAGCTTTATAGTTGGGGTTTAGGGTTTGGCGAGTAGTATAGCAACGCTAGTAGTGATAGTAGTTATGAAAGAGCGTTCTATCATCATTACAGTCGTGCTTCTGTACAATACTTTTGTGACAACAACATAGTGACAAAAATGTGAATAGCCAGAAACACAAAGCAAATAGCTTTAGCGAAAGTTACAAATCTGCGGCCGAATGAAAGGAGTTGCATAGCAACTCGAGGCTTTGACGGGGGCAGTGTCTGTAGGTTCAGGCTCAAGGATGCGCAACGATACCTGGGCCTACAACATCATGAAGAGCTCCAAACCAAAAGCCAAAGCCCTGAACCCTAAACTCCCTTTCACCCATTCTCAATGGAAATCTAAACCCTAAACCCCGGAGTAAACCATCACTGGAGGGACATTTTCGTTTCGGGCCGGCAGCTTGCGGCTGCAGGGGTCCGAGGCTATAGGAGTGGAATAGTGGGAACATAAAGAAACCCACATGGAACCCGTGTAGAACCTAAACCCCTCAACCCTAAACCCAAACCCCTAAACCCTAAACCCCTCAACCCCAAACCCCTCAACCCTCAACCCTAAACCCCTCAACCCTAAACCCCTAAACCCAAAACCCTAAACCCCCAAACCCCAAACCCCTCAACCCTAAACCCTAAACCCCTCAACCCTAAACCCCTAAACCCAAAACCACTAAACCCCTAAACCCCCAAAACCCCTCAACCCTGAAACCTCGGACCATAAGCCGAAGACAACCCTGAGCCCGGTTCTCTCTGAGGCTGCGGGTGTATGGGTAGTTGTCAAAATTAAGGTCCCTGTTTGGGCACCCTAAATATTAGGTGCCGTATTATATTAGGGACCCAAAAAGGGACCATAATTTTGACAACCACCCGTATGGAAAACCCAGCGGCAAAAATCTCGAGGAGCTTGCATTAAAACATGCCGAGGCTAGCAAGGTCTATAGTAAGGTTGAGAATTGTTGAGAGTGCATTCCTTCATTGAGGGGCCTTTAAGGCTTTCAAGCTTCCAGGAACTTAGGAACCAAGAGTAAAAGTTGAACTTATGTAGTACTGTAACCTAGGTTTCTTCTGAGTAGGTACGACGCGCTCTAACAGTAACCTAACGCGCCCAAGACGAGCATCTACGAGCCCCCAGAGACTTCAAAGCCCTTCGAGTTCAGGAATATACCTGAAGTGCTAAGGGTTTAGGGTTGTGAATGAATCCTTAATCTCACGTCATGTACATTGCTGAATTGCACTAGCTTTGGAGTCTCTGGAATCAAATTTGCAAAGTAATCGGCTCTGTCTACGATGGCTCCGGGTAATGATCAGTAATATGAACTTTTTCAATTGGAATAAGGTTTGGGGCTTATGATGGTATGATCATTATAAGCAAACCTAACCAATGGTAGGCACCCTTTCTACATGAAATGCTAAATGGGCGCGAATATTCAATAAGCATGGCTCCACAGTCTCAACATATTTGAGGTGCATGTCACCTTTTATCTTTCTGCATTACAGGGTATTAGAGTCTCCGGGACTGGACCCAAATCAGCTCTGGCCTCCGTCATGGCCGCGCGCTTGCGCAGCGACCCGGGTGGTGACGGTATTACGGGGCTAAGAGGGGCTCATGGCTTTGGTGTGGGGCTTCTCTTCGGCTTTTTCATGTAGGAGTTTAATTAGGGCTTCAACCGTGTTCAGGCAGGTCTACACAATGGTGCTAAGGGGATTTAGGGGCTGGCAGTTAGACTAGGGCTAGGGCTTGGAGGGCTGGATCCGAAAAATTAAGGGACTCATACTACGAATACAAGTTGTCCCGGCTCCTATATAGAGGTGGGGTAGATGCCAGAAAGACAGCCTTGGGCCGACAGATGCGCAACTTCCAAATCCTCAAAAGTCCAACTCTAAACCTCCCAAACCCTAGATTCCATAGTTCCCAAACCCTAGATTCCATAGTTCCCAAACCTTAGATTCCATAGTTCCCAAACCCTAGATTCCATAGTTCCCAAACCCTAGATTCCATAGTTCTACACTGAGCTTGCCGCCGAGGCCTTGTCACTCTGTTTCCGTACCGTCCCTGCAGAATTATGCGTAAAACTACACCAAAACACTCTTTTGATTTATCAGGCCACGATATTGAACTCGAAACCGTATGAAACCCGACAAAATTCTGTAAAACCTTGTGCATGTCGACAAAACCCTATCAAACAAACCCTCGCAAAACCCCGCAAAACGTGAAAACAAAACTCTTACACAACCGGAATTATGAGGTCTGAGATTTAGCGTTTTTCTGTTCTAAGGTTTAGGATTTAAGGGGGTTGAAAGCTCGCAAGTGAAGTCGCAAGGCTCTTTTCTCCATTTCGGCGACATTTCTTCTCGCGAATTCAACATTTGGAGAGATCAAGCAATCTGCTGTTCTGAAGACGCCCGGAAGCCTACACTGTAGCCATGCAACCCCGAAGCGGTGTCATTAAATAGGCTTTCTGCACATGGGGCGTCTAAGCCCTAAGTCCTGAAGCCTAAACCATCCCTTCGTGGAGGTTCTTCCAACAAGGTAGAGGGACTAAGATCCTTTTATTCGCTTCTACCATGAACCCAACGCTTTAGCGGTTGACGGTTTAGGGTTTGCGGTTTGGAAAAACACTGCAACCTTAAAGCTTACACTTAAACCCTGAACTCTCGCTCTCGAAACTCCCACTCTAGAACGCTACCTCTTATCCTGGTGAGCGCGCGCCACAGCAAGGCGCTAGGAAGAGGTGGCAGGAGCACCTTCCCATGAAGAAGTGCCCACGGTTTAGGGATTCAGGGTGTGTGTTCAGTGTCGGGATAGGGCTTTAGGACAGTTGAAGTCTTTGGGGTTGAAGGCTTAGGGTGCAGAGGGGCCTACTTGGAGGGTCGGGGGATTTAGCAAGTAGGTAATAAGTAGACTTGTAAGTACTCTGAAAAGGGCCCTAATTGGGCTTATGGTACTTATAAGTCCCTAAAATAACCAGTTACTAAGTCCCCCGACCCTCCAAGTACCCACCTGCAAATACTGAACAATTGGTGTTGCCCCGTTTTGGCACCCCTCTGTGCCAAAACGACTACCACACGAGAGCTTTGCAGGCATGTCAAGGCAGCAGCAATTCCTGTTGAACGGAATGCCTGGGTGCAGCTTTTGGCTTTGAGTCTAACACCCTTTAATTCTGAAGCCCGCAATCCGTCAACAGCGCCTCGTGAACCGGCTCCAGAGCACTCCGGTCACTTTGAAGGCTCAATGCCTGGGGTTTTGGGCTCTCAAGCTTAATTTTAGGGTTTAGGGTTCAGGGTTTGGAGTGGAGGCTTTAGGGTTTAGGGTTTGGGGTTTAGGGTTTAGGGGCTTAAGGCTTTTGTAAGGTTTTCTGTGGGTCTTATGCGCATTTGTGGGGTTCCATAACGGTCTTGCATGGTGGTGTGGTGTTTCGCAAAGGGATATATGGTTTTGCCATGGTGTTCGTGCGTAACCTTGAAAAGTTGTTGTTTTGTGCTTTGTTGTATATTGGCATTGAACCTAGACTCTAAGAACTGTAAATGAGTTATTCAACATTCACTGAACTCTGTATAACGCTTTGGGGTTAGAAGGCTTGGTGGCATGCCATGGTTTACGGTCAAGTGTACAGCTTACATAGAAGTCCACTGGATAAAGGGCCCTTATCAGGCTGCCAAACCCATATGTTTGTAGGGTCGAGGGTTTGGGGTTTAGTTGAAGGGGTTAGCGGTTTAGCAGGAAGTTTGACCCTTTTCAAAGGGATGCTGAGTTCGGTGGCTTCAGAGTTTGGCGCTGGGCTGGGTGTGCAGGGGTGTGGCCTAGGGTTGATACCTGTCGCATGCTTAGTGACCCTCAACATGTACAAGCGAGATTTGTAAGAAGTACTTGGTAGGGTCTAGAAAAGACCCTCAATCAATAATCTGATCAAGATGTTGGTGCAGTGCACATTTATAGTGGGACTACGAGGGGATAGACACTTTCCCTACGGCTTAGGGCCGTGGAGCTTTTAACCCAAATAACTTTTGCGGTCCTAAGAAAAACTTCACTGAGGCGGTTTTGGAGATTCTAGGCTGTCCACTTCCGTTTGCTGCCAGGACGTTCCTACCACTTATCCTCTTGCTGCCCAAGTATTGAAATTCAAAATGGATCAGGGTTCGGGGCTTTGCGTGCTTCATGTTTTCACCGACGTGGTGGGGCACAGGAAGAGACTAGATGCCTCTGAATCAGCGGTTCAGGGCTTGCAGCTTTCAGGGAGATGGTCAGAGAGTCCAATATCCCTTAGTTAACGAATATTCCCTAAGTCATACCAAGGGTCCTACTATAATTTAAGGGATATTATACTTAATCATGAATGTATTGCTGCGAAATCCGAGTGTGAATCCTCAAACGACACGGCACTGCCCTCCATGGTCCAGCCGGGTGGCTGTCAAATTGAGGCTCCCTTTATGGGTCCCTTCATATAACATGGCACCTAATATTCGGGGTACCCAAGAAGGGATTATAAATTTGACCACTCCCCAGCCAGCCACGAAAACTTAACAGTGAACCCTACACGGTGAAGCTTCAAAGGCTTCACCGCCCTGCGGCCCCGCGACCGCGTGCCGTGACCATGACCATGCCGCTGATGATGCTGGCAAGAAAGCATAGGTTTTTGGTTTGGGGGCTTAAGGTTCAGCATTTGGGGCTTTCTGGGGCTTCAGACCCTAGTACACTACGAGTATACCCTAATGTAGCGGCCTTTTTAACTAGAAAAGGGTTTGGGGGTATGCTATACTATAGCTTTAAGAAGGAACTCCCAAAATAGTATTGGCAATTATTTAGGCCCGCAAAGTAAACCCTATAGTAGAAGCCAAAAAATTGGAACATCAATGTCTCCAGAGACTCCAATATCCCTTAATTAAGGAAGACTCCTTAAATCATATTAAGGGCCCTACTATAATTTAAGGTATATTCCTTAATTAAGGGGTTTTGGAGTCTCAATGTCCCCATGGCCTTAAGGTAAGGTTTATGGGGCTCCCAGTACTAATCATCCTAAACCCATGTTCCAACTTTCTGGGGTTGACTATAAACCATAAAGCATCCCGAATCCCGAGAGATCCCTTAAAGGAACCTTCATAGCACCCTTTAAAGGACCCCTAGCCCTAAACCATAAACCCCAAGAGCCCCGTAAACCCTAACTAGGATACCCAGTAACCTAAGAACAACAAGGCCTCTCTTTTTGGTATTGGGTAACTTTATAAGGAACCTAGGACTACAAAAAGGGAATAAGGGTACTACTGGGCATCCTAGCTAAACTAAAACTGAAGCCTTCGGCCGGGGGCCTCGTCGTCCCGCAGGGCTTTCGTCAAGCTCAGTTCCGCTTTCCCGAGTACCGTTCCTACCGTCTCCGAGACGGACTCAGGGTTCAGGACTTCGCTTCTAGGGTTTACAGTTTAGGGTTTAGGGTTTTAGGAGTTAGGGTTTAGGGTATGTTGCTTGGAGTCTCCCCTGGCTCAATCATACGACACGAAAGTCACACAGAAGCTGGAAACAGAGGTTTAGTTTCAGGGCTGCGTCCCGCCAGGAGAGGCGCCAAGCTCAAGAGGCAGTGTCCCAGCAGATGCCTTCGACCGGGGAGACGGGGCGCATGAGCTTCCAGGAAAGAACCCAGGCACGCTTCCCAGAGCCTCCAAAACCCCTTAATTAAGGAATATACCTTAAATCATAATAGGATCCCTAATATAGTTTAAGGTATATTCCTTAATTAAGGGGTTTTGGAGGCTCTGGGAACCCAGGCACGCTTCTTCGGGGATCTCATCGCCTGAGTCCGACGCCGCGATGTCCTGCTCGGAGTCTGACTCTGAGAACAGCTCTCGGTTTCCATCCGGGCGTAGCTTTGCTTTCTGCTGTGGAAGAACCCTAAACCCTAAACCCCTAAACCCCCAAACGGTTTGAAAGGTTGGATTCCGTCAAGAGCGCCTGCATCTCCTAGAAATCGTAAACCCGAGGAGAAGCTGCAAACCCCTATGAAGCCGTTATGGAACCCTTATGAAACCCAAAACTACCCTACTAACTAAAGCCACCTGATACTTCAACAATACACCCTAAGCTCTAAACCCTCACACCAAAGCCCTAAGCCCTAAACCCTAAACCCTAAACCCTAGACCCCCAAACCCCTAAACCCTAAACCCCTAAACCCAAAACCACTAAACCCCTAAACCCTAAACCCAAAACCCTTAACCCCAAAACCCTTAAGCCCCTAAACCCTAAACCCTAAGCCACCAAACCCGAAGGAGTTCGCCTCGTGGACCTCATGCTCGAAATGCTCCTCGAACGCAGCATGGGGGACCATGAGCCCCATGCCCGAAGATGGATTTTGGATTTTAAGCCTTAGGATTTTGGGATTTGGGGCTTAGGGTTAAGATTTAATATTTAGGATTTGGGGATTTTGTTTTTTTTGAGCTCCTTTTTCCGTCTGCAGATGTCTACAGGTCAGAAGGATTTGGGGTTTAGGGCTAAGGCTTTAGGATGAAGGGTTCAGGGGTTACGTAGAGGTACTGGAGAATTGTCTCTGAACACTATAGAGGAACCCCCTATAAGTTGAGGAATACCCCTCAGTTGGCGGGGTATGGGCCTCTGCAAAAAGCTGTGCTGAGAGAATGGAAATGAGAAGAGATTCGAGTTTACAGGACGTTTACGCTTACGGGGATGTTGAAGCATGAAGTTGCAGCCCTGAGCATCACACAAGCCTGGACAAATTGGAGGGGTGCGATACAGTTCGCAAGACGATTTATCCTAAACACCCTGACCCTGCAACACGAACCTTAAATCTAAATCCCCAATCCTTATGCGCTAAACCCTACCACCCGAAAGCCTGCAGACTCTAAATCCTAAGCCCTGAGCCCGAAGTTATCGGTGGCAAAGCCGGATCCCTCTGCATCCTAGATCGAGCTCCAGGCCCAAAAATTTGAGGTCCGAATCCTCATCACCACTTGGATAATTCAGTAGATTCGGATTCCTTTTTCGGTCCCCAAAAATAGCAAGGGACCCTAAGTTAAAGGAGAACTACACGTTTCAGGGCCGTACTAGTTTGATGGGAGGCCGAAAGGGGGGTTTAAGATTCTCGGGGTCGGGACTCCTGAATATGATCCCTATGATGGGAACCCTAATCCCTACTGAACCCCCATAGGCCAAAACCTCTTTTGGCCTCCTATGATGGTTAGACTCGATGTAGGGTCTTCCACGCACTAACTGTATTAGGAACCCTGAAAAACGGTCTTGCATAATGGCTCCCTCTCCCATATTCAACCCTGTGCGCCCTATCCCTCAAACCCCTAAACCCCTCAAATTCTAAACCCCTAAACCCCCTAACCCTAAACCCTAAACCCTAACCCTAAACCCTAGACCCCTAAACCCTTAACCTCTAACCCGCAAAGCCCAACTTCCCAAACCACGAGGGTCTCCTTCTCAAGGCTCCACGTCACGTAGGCGCTGAGCCTCGATTTTGTTAAGCTTGAGGGCTTATAGGGTTTCGGATTTACAGTAGAAGCCATAAAGTTGGAACAACACTATCCCCATACCTTTAAGGTAAAGTAGAGGGGATCCCCACACTAATCATCCTAAATCCATGTTCCAACTTTCTGGGGTTGACTATAAACCATAAAGCATCCCGAGAGATCCCTTAAAGGAACCTTCATAGCACCTTGTAAAGGACCCCTAGCCCTAAACCATAAACCCCAAGAGCCCCTCACTAGGGTTTATAGGGCTCATAGGGTTGATATAAGGTTTCGGACCTAGGGCCTCTGAGGCTCATAGGGTTTAGGGTTTAGGGTTTAGGGTTTTAGGGTTTAGGGTTTAGGGTTTAGGGTTTAGGGGTTTTGGGTTCAGGGCTTATAGGGTTTAGGTTCGGGGTGTAAGGTTGGGATTTGGGCTTCGGGGTTGGAGCTTTAGGGCTTAAGGGCTGTAGGGTTCTAGGGCTTTGGTGTTTAGGGTCTAGGATTTAGATTTTAGGCTTTCGCGATTCACGGTCTCAGAGATCTCAGAAATGCACACTGTAGCATCTCCATGGTCGTTTTTCGTTCCCTGCTATGTTCCCCCTAGCAGTAGAAGTTTAAGGGTATCCTTTCCTTTTTTGTTTAAATAGGTTTGTCGGGTGTGTGGGTGTGTTCGCTTGATGGATTGCACGGGCTTGGCTCGTGTCGGACTATGTGTGCATCGGATCGACAGAAGCTGAAATAAGGTCGCTTTGGCCGCAGATTGGCGGGGCCTTCATATCTCTCTGCACGCAACGCCGATACGGAGCCCATACAGATCCGTATATCCATGAATACCAAAACTCCTGCATTAGATCCCCAAGTTTCTGACACTTACATATCGGATCTACAGGTTCACGTTACCCGTGGCCCTGAACCCTAAACCCCAAACCCTAATACAACCTAAACCCCTAATAACCTTCAAGCCTTGAATTTCAACCTTAGTTGCCGAGTTCATAAGCCCCAACAAAAAGTGTAAAATGCATCCACTCAGCTACTAAGCAACTACTGGGGCCGAGGCAAGGCAGCGCTGGAGGCCATGAAGCCGAGTGCACACCTGGCCGGATTCTGGATGGGTTTAGGGTTTGGGGGTTAGGGTTTGATACCTTACTTATGACCCTTGTTGCAGAGTATACATCAGGCTAAGGTTGGCTACTGCCCTCAATCGGTAACAGTCCCAGAAGCTCCAAACATACTGCGATTACGGAACTAGGTCACCAAAACCATAACTAGAATAGTCGCTTGAGACCTGATTCCATGTTGCGAGTTTATATGGAGTCGCTGGGGGTTGGATAATATCTTTTATTGACATATTAGGCCTTAATGGTATAACCCCCGTTGTAGATTAGTATGGAAATTACGGGGGCTGTACCCTAGAGTTTGGACTCTGGGTTAGGATTTGGCGTTTAAGGTTTGGGCCCTGCGCAAACACTGTTCCAAATCCAAATTTGGAGTCCCTATAATAAGGATCCTACTATTTAGGGTACTACATTAGGGTCCCCAAAATCCGGAAAACTCAGCCGGCAGAGCGTTTGAAGTCCAGCTTTCGCTTGGGCCAAAGCTTCGTCTGCGTTAGTCGGTGCCTTGAGAAGACGTTCGCTTATCGGTGGTTTGTATGAGGTGGGCTAAGGTGTAAGTCGAGAGTCTAAGGGTCAGAGAATTTAGGGTTCAGGTTTGGGGTGAGACCTGAACAAGGCCTTGGGTTTTAGGGTTTGGGGTTGGGGGCTTCTTGTTTGGGGCTTGGGATTTAGGCTTACGGTGTAAGCATGGGTTTAAGGTTTTGGGGCTTAGTGGTTAGGGTTTGGGACTCGGGGCTTGGGCTAAGTGCGCTGACGTGGCGGGGTGAGGGAGTGTTCCTCGTCAGAGCGGTGTATGATGGAAGCACAGGCAGCACGCAGGCACTCAGCAACACCTCGTCTTCTGCTGGCTTCTGGCTGGCTTCTGGCAGGGATATACGGAAAGCGCATTCATTAAGAAATCGTTGGGAGCAAGAAATGAGACCCTGAATTTTTTGTGAATTCTTATCCAGGGTCCTAAAACCTTGCGCAACAGGCACGGATACATACAAGTCATACGTGAAACAGACAGTCATCCAGGAGTGTAACATTTGGTGTTTCACCCTTCCACCTGCTCCCCAAACAAAACCCTCCCCTCCGCAGCCCTCCCATGCAGCCCTGCCGGGTGCCCCCCAAAGCCTGTGGTTTGAGCCATTCAACGGCGCGTGTTTTTGGAGGAGAACGACGCGCCGTTGAACTCTGGCCCACAGCCAAAGTTCAACGGCGCGTGTTTTTGGAGGAGAACGGCGCGTTTGGGGCCAAAACGACGCGCCGTTGAACTCTGGTCCCCGCACGCCCTCCACAGCCAAAGTTCAACGGCGCATGTTTTTGGAGGAGAACGGCGCGTTTGGACCCAAAACGACGCGCCGTTGAACTTTGGGCTGCGTGCCAACCTCAAACAGCTCATTTTAGAAATCTCCGATTTAGAAATATTCGGGGTCTGGCCCAACCCATGCCCATTTCTTATTGAAAGGTTCGACCGTACTAAACTCATAAACAACCTCAGGACTACTACGCTCGTCTAGAAAATCTTGCCCCTATAGTACTTTTTGACCTCTCTGGGCCCCCGGGCGTGGTGGCCGTGGCCACCGAAGCTGACTGGGATCCTTGAAAAGGCTCTGGGCCTCTTTGGGTTGAGAGTTTAGAGCTTGGGGTTGTAGGGTTGAGGATTTAGAGTTTAGGGTTTGCTTTTTAGTTTAGGATTTGAGGTTTAGGATGTAGGGATGAAGGTTTTGTAGGATTCTGTCAGGGTGTTGCCGGAAGTAATCCTGTCTGTAATGGATTTAGACTTGCGTCTAGGTTTTTGTATGGCGGCGGCTCACAAGGGAATAGTTGCTAAGGTTATAAGTACGGTAACTGTAGTTATAGCTACTTATAATCCCAATTACGTACTTCTAACCTTACTTACTAAGTCCTATGATCCTCCAAGTATGGATTTTGAGGCTGAGGGCTTGGGATTCAAGTGCTCCGAGCTCCGAGGCGACAGGGGCTGGGTTGCTTAGGGCGTGCAGGGTCCCAGAGACTCCCATGTCCCGGAATTAAGGAAGATACCTTAAATCAAATTAGAATGGGATCCCTAATATGACTCAAGGAATATTCCTTAATTAAGGGATAGTGGAGTGTAGGTTTCCGGGTCTGGATCCAAGGTTCCAGCTTCGGGGAATAATCGGTTAGGGTTGAAACGGCCAGCCACAACATTCCATCCCCTGGTGGATGCAGGATTATCTAGAAGCCTGAATAATTAGCCTAGGGTTTTGGTAGCCTCGATAATGGGGACTCCAGGGGGGTATGCAACTTGTACAGAAATGAAAGAAACTGTTTCGTCCGTATGCCACGACAATCCAACGCAGCCATCCCAAAACCTCAACCAAACATCCAAGCCCAAACCAAAAGGTGTCAACCTGATTGAGAATGCCCGAGTTCTGATTCGGGCAGTTACCACCAACCGTACTCTTGAGGGTTGCATAACAACCAGAGCTTGTCAATCTTGAAACCAGGTTCTTACACCCAACCCCCAAACCAACCCTAAACTCAAAAGCCGAAACCCTAAAGCCTAAACCCCCCAAAGCCCTAAACCTCAAAACCTCAACCCTAAACTCCAAAGCCTAAACCCTAAACCCTAAACCCCCCAAACCCTAAACCCTCCTAAACCCCCTAACCCTTGTAAACCTCGAAGCCTCAACCTTACACTCGCTTGGGTCCCCGGACCTCGGTCCTGCCTGCGCTGAATGGGCAAATTCATGCGCAGGGATACTTAAAGGATCGTGGGACTTAGTAAGTGAGGCTTAGGGGTCCCTTTAAGGGACCTATAGGGGTACTTTAAGGGTTTGGGGTTTAGGGTCTACTATGCGGGTTTAGGGGCTCAGGATCTACTTGGAGGATCATGGGACTTAGTAAGTGGGGTTATAAGTACCTTAATTGGGGTTATAAGTATAGTTACCTTACTTATAACCCTATAGTTACTACGTCCCATGATCCTCTAAGTAGGAATCGAGGTTGGGGACTTAATGTAGGAGCCTGATTCAGAAACCTGGGGCCTTTTTTAGGATTCCTTTAAAGGGGTCTATAAGGGCTCCTATAAGGGATCTATAATATGGGTACTATAATAATGTAGGAACCTGATTAAGAAACCTTGGGCCTTTATCAGGGTTCCTCATATGAATCCTACTATTTTGAGGGTGAGAGGCCCAGGGCTTCTTAATCAGAGTCCTACACTAGCCTTTTACGGATTTGAAGCCTAACGGTTTAGGTGCTTCGTTGTGCTCATTGGCTCTGTCTGTAGACATATGTTGGACTGCCTAGGATTTCAACAGCCTTGTGCCTTGTGATGATGTTGCAGACAGGGTTCAGGTCGACGGATGAGTGGCTGGACACATACGGTAGACACCAGAAAGCTCTCTCGACTGTCGCAAGAGTCGCAGCAAAACCCTTATAGCGGGAAAGGCTTTCCTCCAGACCTCCTAGATACAAGCGCCCAGGCCTGAAGCTTAAACCCTATACTCCATACCCGTGGTATTGTAGATAGTGTAGAAGAGTCGGACGTCCCAAGGCCCATCTCTGTGACAGAAACAAGGCAGTGAATCGAACGGAAGCCTCTCTAAGCCCCGAACCCTGAGCCCTAAAACCCGTAAACCCCGAAACTGTAAACCCTAAAACCCCTAAACCCTAAATTTAACCCTAAAATCTTTCCCCCTAAACACCCGAAACCCTACATCAAGCCTACGCCCCAAAACCCCAAGCCGTAACTCCCCCAAAGCTGTCCCTGACTCCGAAATCCTCCTAAACCCGAAACCCGAAACTCTAAACCCTAAATCCTGAATCCGGAATCCGACATCGCCCCTCATCGCCTCTACCAAGAAGGCGGAAGCCTGACGTCCTGGTTCGCAGGAGAAAAAGGGCCTTCATGTAATATGCTTCCCTCTGCTTTTATTGCTTGGCGGCGCCTCCGTACCAAGCATAACCAAACTCTGCCAAACTTTGGTATATTACGATATTTTTGTTGATGGAAACTCCGAGGGACAGAGATACCTTAGGTTTTGCACTAGTATCTCGTAGTCCCCATGTCATTTACAGTATTTTTTACTCCGAAACCCTATTCTAACTACTACGGGTAGGGTCCTGTACTAGATCCTTATAAACCCATATGACAGAACCCTGAAACGAACGCTTCGAAAAAGCTTTCAGAACCCTGTTCTAATCATCGAGGCTCCTACAGAACTACGTAATTAGTCTGCGAAGAAACCAGTTGTGGAGCCGATCTTTGCAGAATCCTGCAAACCCCTTATCGAATCTTACGATTCTCGGGATTTTTCAGTGGATCTTCGGGTTTACACTTGAGAAGTGTAGGAAACAACTGCTCAGTGTGGACGGGTAAAAGGGTGAAGATTGGGGCGATGTAAGAGGTAGGTTATCGGTAAAAGTCTCGTAAAGAGGCTTGGCTACTAAACGCCTAAACTCTTTAGGGTTTAGGGTTCCGGGCTACTTCTTACAACCCTACACTTAACACCTACTGACGAAGGGCCTACCATCTTCCGAGCAGGGAAGCTGGCAAAGGTTGGAGGATTAAGGAGACGGAGCTCAAGCTTTTATGCCTCATGGGTTAACCCGAAAGGGATCTAGAAAGTAGATCCCTTAATTTGGGGCACTAAACTACTAAGGGTACTTTATAGGAACCCCCATTAAGGGATCTACTTTTTGGATCCTCCGGGGGTCTGGGTAAGGGTTGACTACACGGGCCTTAAGAACTAGAATCGGAGCATACTATGCATATGATGGGCAAGTGATTACTCCCGCCTCTATGGGCGAAGTTCTCCGAATTCGGGTTCCTTTAAGTCCCCAAGTACCTTGGCCTTCCAAAAAGAACCCAAAAAGCGACCCTAATTTAGGGAGCCACCGTCACGGGAGCCAAAAGAAACCCTGACAAAATTCCTGTAAGGAGCCACCCAAAAAAGGGGGCCTCAAAGAACTAAACATACTAAGTCTCGAACTTCAGGCTAGCCGCGGAAAGCAAATGCCACAAGTTCGATATTGTTATGATGTGTAGTGTTATTCTTATTCTTACTATTCCGCTTATAAATATCTACTGATATTACTATTATTGATATTAAAAGTATATGTTTTACTCAGAATGCACACCGCGACACAAGATGATAGCAGCAGGACCATAGCCCACCTTCTGACTATGATTCGTGAGCTATTGTGACTTTGGCGATGGCTATATCACCCTAAACCCGAAGCCCTAAACTCTGTACGCTATATCGCTGTCATTTTTAAGTTGTAACGCCGCAGACTTCATGCGCCTCGGGTCGTCCCGACGGCCAGGGGTGACACCAGCATATCCTGGCTGGGTCTTTAGGCTCCCAGGTTTAAGTGCCTCAGCGTTTTCGGGCTTTTTTAAAGGGTTTAGGGTTTAGGGGTTTAAGGGCCTCAGCGTTTTCGGGTTTAGGGTTCAGGGTTGAGGGTTTAAGAGCTCAAGGGTTTGCAAGGTGTGTCAGTATGAGAGCTCTAAGCCTAAGCCCGAAACCCTGCACCCCGCATGCAACCTAAATCCTAGATCCTAAACCCTAAATCCCTACACCCTAAACCCCGACACCCTCACCCCGACACCCTAACCGGTTTAACGAAGCCGGATCAGGGCCTGGGTAGTTCGAGGCCACAGTCAGGGCCTTGACCCCTAAAGCCAGTCCCCTCACGGTCCTTTCAAAAGGTGCCTTCCTAGTTGTCATCGTGTCGTGCTTGTATCTTGCTATACCTTTTTTGGGCCAATAAGGGATGATTGAAGAAAAACAAACACTAAATATTGCCTGAGACCTCTATGTGAACTGTGGTTCAATCTTGACGCCTAAAGCGAACCCATCAACCTTCAGGATGTTTCGCGCCTAGAGTTTAAGGGTTTAGGGTTTAGGGGTTTAGGGTCTAGCGTTTAAGCCTAACCTTTCGGGGCTCAGCTTGGGGTGAGGTTGACAGGTTGGGGTTTAGAACTTCGGGTTTTTTCGCCTGGGTAGTCCAGGGCTTACCACTCCTCTCTTCCGAGACTCAGGATGCAGAGGATGGCTCTTTCGGAGTTTCCAAAAATTAGGGGCACCTTGTTTTGGGGTCCTTATAATAAGGATCCTACTAGTTCGGGTACTTTATTTGGGTCGCTATTTTCGGAAACCCCCCTTTGAGAAAAGAGGATTTCAGAAGGATCGTAATGGCTTGATAGCCGGATCCAAGTTGCATAAAAACCCATCGGGTTGCGTTTGGTCTGGTCGGGGTTTCGGCTTTAGGGTTTACGGGTTTAGGGGTTTAGGGCTTTAGGGCTTAGGGGTTCATATTGGGGGTCTTGGTCAGTGCGACCAGACTCTTGGGCATATATTTGGAGTTTCTTCCTGCCGAGACCAATTCTGGAAACCCTACTTCACATGACAGAAGTCCAACTCCACTGACGAGCCGTCCAATATAGGGGCCTTAATAATCAGAATAGGGTTTTGGGGTTGCATATTATACTATAATTAAAATTAGGAACCCCAAAAAATCTAATGTGCAGCACTTGAAGGGAGGGGGCGGGCGGTTGCGGCCTGTCGGGTTGCAAGCTGAGTTCCAATCAGAAGACACCCGGAGCTGTGCCGAAAAGGAAAACGCGGAAAGCCATGATTAAGCCTAAGCAGTATGCCTTGTATTACAGGGGCATCCCTCGCGATTTACACCGCTGATTGATTGAGCCTTCTACCTTCTCTGAGGACTAGAGCAGATATCCGTCGAAGCCCCCGTGAAAAAAAAGAAACAACTCCTATGACATGCAAAGCCCGCCCCAGCGCATCCGTGGACGCGGACTTTTACCAGGCAAGCTCGTCGCTGGGCTTTCCGGCCGTTGTGCCGGAGGAGCTCAAAGGCTTGATCCTAAACTCAAGGCTTACGAATTAGGTTTAGTTAGATTTAGGGTTTACGGGCATGAAGGTTGAATATGTCGGGCTGCAGTGCAAGAGCAACTTACGTCCACCGCGTCTTCTCCTATCAGCATTGTGTGCAGTTTCTAAGGCAGCTGCAACTAGAAAATTGGCTGCGTTGGGTCCTTCTGTGCGGTAACTAGCAACAAATACGTCAACCCTAAACCTTAAACCCTAAACCATAAGCCTAGAACTGAGGGCAGGCGTTCACCTCTTCAGTGGCAGGCCCCGCTCAGCCTCTTCGAGGACGGTATTGAGGGCCTGGAACAAAAGCTCCATAGCAGCAACTTTGCGGGGTTTGGGGTTTAGGGTCGCGTTCAATCAATGACTTAGATTTAGACCCTAGTTTGGAAAAATTCCGCTTCTCGACGAGCTATGATATCAGGATCCACAGTGTAGTCCTTTTTGGGGTGAGAGGGTTATCATGCAGGGATCTACGTGAACAGTGGTTATAGGTATAGCAATCGCGACTTAACAAATGCTCCTTCGTGAAGGCTTATAAAGACAACTATTGATACGACCGGACCGCACAATGCTGCAATCATCGTAGACCCTAAACCATAAGCCCCACTGACGACAAGGGACTGATACCACCAAAACATAGTCAACACAAGAGGCAGTAGTCCAAAAGCGCGATCATCGTAAAAATACCTGCAACACAACACCTGGCCAAATATGGATGACTATCGTGCTTGGCCCAACGGGCACCGATTAGCCGTCTTGGTGACAGCTCACCACAAGAACACCATGAGAAAAAAACACGGCGCACAGTTGCGAAAAATCATTGAAAACACAATCGCGAGATGACTATCCAGAGCCGGGGTACTGATACAACGGCTACTAATTGGAGGAAAAGCAGGATATATACCGGTTACCAAAACCGTAAACTCCACAAAAACCAACTATAAGCCCTAAGAACTCAAATCCTAAATCCGGGAATTCCGAATTCCAAACTCCCAACGCCTGCAACCCCTAAGCCCTAAGCACCCCCAGCAAAAAGCAATCTCACAGGGCCCGCGCCTCCTTCGCCGAACCCTGTTCCTTGTTCTAACCGCAAAACCCTAGTCTTCAAAAACCCCCGAACTAAAAACCCTATAAACCCCAACCCCAAAGAGATCTCACAGAGCCTGGGCATTCTTAGCCCAGCCGGTGGGCGTGGCCCGTAAAGGCTGCAAAGCGCCGTGGCGCCGCCAAAGCGCAAGGGGGCTCCTTGGTTTAGGGTTTCGGGTTTCAGGGTTAAGGGGTTTGGGGTTTAGGGGTTTAGGGTTTTAAGGGGTTAAGGGTCTAGGAGTTGGGGTCTAGGGGTAGTGGTTTAAGGTATAAGGTGTTTGTGGGGTGTTTGTTTGTTAAATTCCTGCTTCCATCCGCCTACAGCAGTTTAGAGTTTAGGGTTCAGAGTTTGGGAGTTTGAGCTCGTGGTCTTCAAGGGCCGTTACTTCTTGGGTTTTATGTTGAGGGCACGTTTTCTTCCCGGCGTCTTTTTAGGGTTTAGGGATTTGGGCTCGAAGACGGTCGGAATTACAGTGTGGGGCACTTAGGGTTGGAGGGCTTTAAGGCTCTGGGGCGGCAGAGCGGCGCCAACTTTTACTTTTGGATGCAACATCTCCAGCTTGGGATAGCTTGGGTGATTTGCCACTCTCGGCAACACCTTCTGCTTTGGAAGCCATTGCGACCCTTTCTTCATCAACGGCCTCCGCGCGCATGTCTGATAGCATCGCGCCACACCTAGCTTTGCCAACTCGGACCGCAGCACCTGCCAGTGTCGGGTCGTCGACCAGCAAGTGTGGGGGCCTCCTGCGCCCCATGCAGCTCTTTCATCATTGTCCACCACTGTCCAGTTCGAGCGGGCTTCATCTTTGTTTGTCAGCAAGCTGCGGAGGAGCAGGTTTCCGAATGCGTGGTCGCGACTGGCTGCTACAACCTCTCTCGTGGCAAGGCTGGTGGGGCAGCTGGCGAGACACTCCAAATGCTCTCCCATGCCGTCCAGGACCGCAGCGACAGTGACGGAGGCTCCCACTGGAACTCCTTCGGCGGTGAGGCGGCAAGGGTGTTGGAGCAGCTCTGCCGGACATGCATCGCCCTGATCGTACAGCGCGCGGGCGGTGAGCAGTCGAGCCACCAGGTCGATCTGCTGAGTCAGTACAACAGCGGCGCGGCCATATTGCGCACAGTGCAGCAAACCTGGTTCTGTTGGATCAAAGGCTGCGAGCTCGTTTTGGAATCTAGAAGCCTGGAATAGCGTAGAAGGTTTAGGACTTGCACACCAGAGACGGCACGGCACATCAAAACAACTAGTCTGCATCAAAACAACTTGTCTCCATCTAGACGCTCGATTCCACAAGCACCCACCCGAGACGCACGTTCGTGGCAGCAGAACACGTCAAACCCAGTGGTAGCAGAACACATCAGACCCAGCCGTTCCTGGACGCTCGAGTCCACCTAAATTCAATGTCATCGGATCGTGGACAAATCGAAAAACGGCATTTCCCGACTGTGGGACGCAGCAACTACTATTGTCCCGGCAGGGAAACAGCGGACCCGGGTTGCAAGGCCCTGGTCTGTGCACAAAGAGAGGCAACTGAGTCCTAGAAGTTAAACCTCGGAAGGCCGCCACATCCAGGAATTCCGCGGACATGCGCAGAATCCTCAGGCAGCCGTGCGTTGTGCGCCAGAAACAGGTTCCTGTAAGACCACTACACGGAACCCAGAAACCTCGACCTGCACGCATCTACTTGGCATGGCCGGCTCACGCATCCTCCGTCGCTCAACCTTTCCTGCCACGAGAGTCTCACCAGAAAGACAGAATCCTGCTCATGACGAACTTGGACCTAGACAACTCCTGGTCATGAAACAGCATAAGCCAGTGACGTCGTTTCGCTTCTTACTATGCCATCGAGGCTTCTTCAGACACGCGGAGCCGAAGCTCTTGGATGAACTGTAAGGCGGGGGACCTACCCACTGATTGAGCACAAGGCCTGGAACCATTGTATATGTACCTCCGACCTTCAAACCCTGAGGCCCCACTCCTAAACAACGACCGGACTCAGCACACTCGGCTTGCTCTTAACTGTTTCTCGCAGCGTCCTTATTTGAACAAACCACCACGAAAGTATGAAGCGCCTTCAAGGCAACTCGAATGTCGGACCACCCCCTACTAGCCACATGTGAACATGTAATGCTCTATCAAATACTACCAAGACGCCTACAACAAGAAGCCGATCGCAGGCACCTTATCTGAACCCTGAACCCTAACCCCTAAACCCTAAACCCTAAAACCCTAAACCCTAATACCCTAAACCCGAAACCCCTAAACCTTAAAACCCTAAAAGTAACCCCTAAACCCTAAACCCTAAGTCAACCAAATTGAGCAGATAAGGTTGCGGCCTTGAAGGAGTGGGTGCTTTCAATCCC